TTATAATTCTTTTATTATATTGCTAGACTATTTACTGATACAGAAAAAGTTAAAATAGTTTCTTATTATGAAGTTAATATGAGAAAATGCTCAATAAGCAAATCAAATTTAAATAAGATTCTTATAAGGTATACAGATATGAATAATATTAATCATAAGAAATGATCTAGAGGATCAAAAGCTTAAAACATTCTTAAATAAAATTAATGAAGAAAAAAGTATAAAAATTTTAAAAAATTGTATCAAAATAATTTCTGAAGAAATTAATAATGACTTTAATATGAACATTTCTGCTAAAATTATAATAAAATATCTTTAAAGAGTTGATTTAAATGCTTATAAACTTTTAAAGAAACCTTTTCTTAGTACTAAGAATAATATTTTTAGATTTGAATATTCTAAAGAACATTTATGAGATTTAGAAGCTTTTTGGAAAGAATTTTTTGGTCATATGAAATTAAAACAAACCTGTTTGGCTTTGATAGTATAGTTTTTGTACACACACCAAGATGTTTAAGAGGTGTAGAAAATTTTATGACACCAACAGTAAAATATAGTAAAGGATGTATCATTATGAGGATTTTCTCCTATCGAGAACTAGAGAAAGTTAGAATTATAAAAAGGAACATGTCAGCAATGTATTATATGAAAATCATATGTTAAAAATTATTTAAATCAGTGTATGAATACGAAATCGTGGATAGTTATATTTTTCAACAGGATAATGATTCTAGGCATAAAGCTGCTTTTACTTTTGAATTCTTTGACAAATATAATGTAGAAGTATTGAATTAGCCATCGCAAAGCCATAACATCAATTTATAAGAAAAATTTTTGCATTATTTAAAAATTCAGGTCTAAAAACGCAAACATAAATTTTTATTGAATTAAAAGTATTTGTAGTTGTTGAATGGTTTAAAATACCTCAAGAGATATGTAAAAATTTAGTAAATTCTGTTCCTAAGAGAAATGAATAGTTGTATGAATCTAAAAGAAAAAATACGTTTTATTAAATTTTTTAACTCAAAATTTTTTTCCACATAGCAGTTTTATTTATTTTATACTAAAAAGTTTGTAGAATAAGTATAATTTAATATTAATACTTTTGTGAGTATAAAACTTCATTGTTTTCATATTATTTTCTGGTGGCTCAATTTTTTAAACCGTTATAAATTTGACATAAAAATTCTACCGTTATGAGAGATATAGAGTTAGAAAACAAGACAATTAATATTAATAATATAGATTAACAAAGAATTGAATAAAGATAAAGAGTACCTCTTTAAACAGGTTGAATAAATTACATTCTTTACCTTCTGAAGGTTTCGGTATCTGGTTTAGACAAAAAGACATTTGTTTTTAAATTATTTAACTCTTATTAAATTTATTAAAAGACTTTTTTTCAATTTAAATATTTTTAAAAAATAATTATTAAGCTGCATAAATTGTAAGCTTTTTTAACATCAAAACTAGTTACTTTTAATGAAGTTCGATTCCCGATTATTCTATTTTTTAGACTTTCTTTTTGACTTTAAATAAATTATTTTTATAGAAATTAGGAATTTGGTTTTATCTTTGTTAGACGTTTTATTAAATTTTTTTAATTTATTTCGTTATCTTTATTCATCCTATTATTTCGATGGGTTAAAATATTTAAAAAAAATTAAAAAAAATATTCTGAGGTAAACTATAGAAGTTTACTATAAGTTTAATTTAAATATACAGTATAGGACACATAAAACTATAAAATAAATTTTTCAAAACTACTTACTTTTAAAGATATGTTTTAAATCTTATTCTTAAAAAATAATGTGTAAAAAGTATGGTTGAAGTTTTATGTAATGAAAAATAAAAATTTTTTCTTTTTAAATCGTATTATTAAAAATTTTTTAAAAATATTTTTTAAAAAAGAAGACATTGAAAATGGAAAATATAATAAGTTTATGAAAATTTTCATCCTCCAAATTTTTAATACAAATTTAGAAAAAAACACATCCTAAAAACGGGTAAGTAATATTCAAATTTTTTAAAAGGGTAAGTAATTACATTAAAAAATTCAAATTTTACGTATAAACAAATATTACAAAACTTAATATCCTATTATCGTCTTGTCGATTTATAATTTCAGAATATAATAATTATAATACTACAAGTCGTAAAATTAGTACAATTAAAGTTTCAAAGCTTAACAAAAGTGATTACGAAATAATTCAAAAGGTAAAAAATAAAAATAAAAAATTTTCAGCACCTAAATTAAATAAGGTGTTTCGAAATTTAATAAAGAAAGAAATATCATATATAATAATAAGAAGAGTTCTGAATGAATTAGGTTTTAGGAGTATAAAACCAGTTTCTGATTAAGTGCAAAAATTCCCACACAACAATAACAAGTGCAAAAATTTCACCATAACAAAAACAAGTGAAAAAAATAATTTAAAAATAAAAAATAAATTAAAAGAACTAAATTTAATTAAATCTTAATAATCTCAATTAATCATCCAAAGTATTATTTAGGCCTAAAAATTTTTTTTAAGTTAATTCAGATAAAATTAGTCTAATTTTACATTCTACAATTCCTTATGCATTTTAATAACATATTTACAATTGTTCCACACACTTTCGATGCTCTGAGTATGAACACCGTTATTGTGATTTACAAACCTTTCACTATGATTAACAGTGAAATGTGCAAATCTTAATTTACTATTTATGCCTAAATATACTTTCTACTGATCATTGTGGATTATTGTTTCTGTGGCACAAACTCGTTCTATTATTGGTAGTAGAGTGTTAGCAGTTCTGTTAGGAACAAAATGCAATGAGATTTTTGCTGGTGTAAATGAACAATCAGCTAGTCCAAATACCCAAATCTCTCTTGTTGGTTGTCTATCTCGATTGTATTTTTGTTTATATCTAAAAAAACCTTTATCTATTTGGACAATCATACCATCACCACCAAGACGAATTGAATTTTTTGTCTTATTTTTAAAACATTGATTACGAATTAAATCAATAATTTTATAATTGGCTTTTTCCGATATTCACCTCTGTACCTATCTGTACATGAGTATGGTTATTAAACCATTTACAAGCCACTAATAAAAAGTCTCTCAGAGGTACAGTGAATCCTGGTAGTAGTGACTTGGTGCGTATTGAAACATACTTAGAAAAGTCATTACAACTTCTTTTACAATACCTGAAGGCTACACCATCAGTATTCTTAGTGTATGGTTTCGTTTTTAATGTCTAGAAGACATGTTCCACACTTTACATACCTTTCAAGTATGCCTTTAATGCGTAGAAATTCTATCAGGTCTTCTACAGCATCACTAACTAAGGGTTCTATTATACTACTAAACCAATGAATCATGGGTTTAAAAACTTTTTAAGAAATATTATTAATTTTTTTATTTCATTTTTGCACTTGATCCAAAACTTCTTTAAAAATTATTTTATAAATGAAAAATAAATATAGATAAATAAACTGTTTTTCAAATAAATCTAAATGTTTTTAAAATAAAATTTTAT